TCGGGATCAAAATCGCTGAGAAACCAGTATGATGGCAGAATATCAGCGATGGTGTGACCCTTTGGAAGAACACGTGGTCATTCGAGAGGAAGACGCTCAAATGGTCGCCACCATGTTTTCCTGGCGGTCGGACAACTCCTTCATTTCTGCTCCCCGTGTTGAGAGCAGCCCTGGAGTAAGCACAAAGCACGTAACGGTTACCATACATGGACAATCGTACGAGCTGCATGTGCCTTAGCATGTACCCAATAAAACCCACCGATTGATTGTGGATATTCTGACCGAATATCAAGAGGCCATTAGCGAATTTAGCGTAACAGATACGGATATCGGACTGAACCTAGTCATTCAATACGAAATTCAGACCGGAACGCACCCGACGATCCACTGCAAACCGTACCAATATTCTATCACGGAACGAAGAATAGCATTGCAAAGAATCAGAGAATTCGAGGCTAACGGATGGATCGAACCGGCGACAGGACCTTGGTCATTTCCTGTGGTCTGAGTCCCGAAGTAAAATGGCTCGATCCGCATTTGCATTGATTACCGGAAGCTAAATGATATCACGATCAAAGATGTGTAACCCCTTCCCCGGATTCATGATCTATTGGATGCGATTGAATGTGCTAATTATTTCAGTAAGTTTGATATTCGACATGGATTTCATCACATTCTGGTTAAGGAGGAGGATCGACCGAAGACGGTCTTTGTGTTATTCGATGGCACCTGGTAGTGGGTCTGCGGCCCAATAGGAATTTGCAATGCACCAACTACTTTTCAGAGAGCGATAAATGTTACGTTTCAGAATTTCGTCAACAAAACCAGGCTGACTCAAGGCATGATTAATTTTTGCGTCATTGTGTACATGGACGACATCCTGGTCTACTTGGAATCATTCCACGGCTATGAATCCCCGTTGGCGGCGGCCAAGCGCGGCCGAATCCGCGGACGCGGCCAGGCCGCCGACCCTACGCACGCACGGCTTTGAAGCCACGTGGCTGCCAGTGGGGAGGGGGGTTGGGGATTCGGGAAGCGCCATGGGGCGGCGCAACCCCAGCCCCAACCCCTCCAAAAAAAAAATAAAAAAAAATTGGTTGGGGGTATTCGGGTGAGTAAAGGTATTTCAAAAAAAAAAAAAAAAAAAAAAAAAAACAGCGTTTTTTTATCTTTTTTCTTTTTCCGTTGATTAATTGATTGATTGACTGATTGGCCCTACAG